GTGTTTTGATGTCGGTATTGACGGTATTGTTGCGGTAGGGTCTCTGAAGCTGCTTGGTGAAGTCTGCTGTGCTGGTTTTGATGAGGTAGGAATTTTCGAAATGTCAGGATTCTCCTCTTGAGAAAGCACCATCTGGCCGTCCGTGTCGGTGAGGGGCTCGGCCGGAGTCTCACGATCCGATGGTGATGCGATCCTCAAAATGGATCCAAAGAGGGTTTGCAGAAGGAAGCCGGTCGTACCTAAGCCTTCAAGTGTCTCCTCCGACACCATCGAATCACCCTCAGCCGTGAGAGTGACAATGGAAGAATAAAAGTCCAACACTGCCTTGAGCGGCGCATGGCCATTGTGCGTTGGCATAAACAGGAGGAAGTCCCTATCGGAGATGCCTTATTAGTGAATTGCTCCTCTGCCAATTTTGCACAGATGAGATCTGGAGGGGACCACGATGTACGGCGTGTCGGCGAAGCGTCCTGAGATCTCGGTCTCCACCCTTCACCGAACTACACCGAGGACATCACAACCCCTGAGGCCCCGCCATCACATGGGACCAAATTTCGGTCATTTCCAGCCCATCATCTCTGACACGAAAAGGAGAATCCTTGAGGCAAGGGGAATCAGGCTCACCTCCATTCCTCGAAGCTGATGAAGCCGTCGTTGTTCATGTCGATGTCTCCGAAGAAGGCACTGAGCTTGCGCATCGGCACAACCAGCCCGGCCCGCCTGAAGGCCTCCTGCAGCTCCGTCTTGTCCAGCCGTCCATTGTTATCCTTGTCTATTGACTGGAACAATATCATGAGCTGCCTCTCGGTCTGCTCGACGAAAGTGCGGAACTCTGGCATCAACACCCATTAGCACCTCTCCTCGACCCCCAAGACAGGGGAACCCAGCCAACGAGCTCCAGCCTCAGCTCAAAACTCCCGTTCGCAGCTCACCTTCGTATTGAATCTTGCCGTCGGCGTTGGTGTCGACGACGGTCATGATCCGCCGCAACATGTCCTCCGCATTTTTCATAGCTGCAGCGCGACATCAGTACCATCCCACAAGGGGCGTCGGACAAAGAAAGATGCTGACGGTGATCGATCCTGTTCAGGCCCTTTTGCAGACCCTTGAAGTCGAGATAGCCGGTGCCCTGGACGTCCAATTGCTTCCAGAGCTCCTCCACGCGCTTATCGCGCTGGTTCTGCGATTCTTCCATGTCCATCTCGAGCTCGGCAACCCATTCTGTCACGCCCATGGCAGCAGCGGCATCAGGGCGCAGGGCAGTAGAGTCGGGGCTTCGGTTTCGACGCGGGAGTCATGGGGCGACGACTACGGTTATCGGTAAGGTGAGTCGCTCGCGGGGGGTTCGGTATGTATGTTTTGTCTCATTCAGACATGGCGGGTTGGGAAAGGTGTTGTCGCGACACTTGCATGCTGCAAGTCACAAGGACTGACGTAGGAGGGATCGTGAGGTGCGGCGTCGACCAAGAAAAAGTAGAACCCGCTCCCGCCTGCCGCAAGTGGTTCGCGCAGAAGCCACAGCGTCAAAGGCTCGGCATCATGGGGGGCTTCAGAGGGTGCCGGGGTCCCACAGGCGAGACAAGCGAGGCAATCAGCTGCCGCCAATTAGCAGTCCTGCCGGAGCTTTCAGTGCTCCAGAGCTTCTGTGGCTGCCCTGTCCAGCGACAGCGGCTTCCTCTATTCCCGTCTGCCCGTCCCGCGGCACATTCCATCTTTTCGTTATCGGATGACGCGCACCGCCACACTAGACGTAGGAACTGCCACAACCTCTTAGTGTTCACCAGCCTCGCAGCCATTCTCTAACTTCAACCCTCAGCCTTGCATTCCTCCGTTCCAACCGGGCACCTCTGTCAACCGGCTGTACGGTGCAATTGAGACGCAAATCATGACATAGGGCTCGAATCGATACTGCTCCAGGTCGTCATGGCTGCCAATTACTGGGAGTCGACCCAGCGTCGCTTCTGGCTCTTCTCGAAAGACGACCTCGGTGCGGTGCGACAGAAGCTGGAAGACGACAATGCCGACCTCGTCCAGATGTTCTCCCTCCCGCAGCAGCGGCACCTGGGCGTCTACTTCAACCAACGTTTGTTCCCTCCCGCGTTTCTCCGCCGAGACTGTCTCACTGATTCAAACCACAGAGGTTAATCGCCTCGGTAAACGAATGGTTGTCCGTCAGCAGGCCATGGCCACCGCCCAGGTCTACATCAAGCGCTTCTACACAAAGGTCGAAATCCGCCGAACGAATCCATACCTCGTCGTAGCGACCGCCCTTTACCTGGCTTGTAAGATGGAGGAGTGCCCACAGCATATTCGTTTGATTGTCAGCGAGGCGCGCTCGTTGTGGCCTGACTTCCTCGGACTCGACACCTCGAAACTCGGCGAGTGCGAGTTCTTCATGATATCCGAGATGAGCTCCCAGCTTATCGTCTACCAACCATACCGCACACTCAACAACTACCAGCAAGAGTTGGCTTTGACTCAGGAGGACGTTGCGCTGGGCTGGTCCATCATCAACGACCACTACATGACAGACCTTCCTCTTCTGTATCCACCGCACACTATTGCCTTGACTGCCATCCTTCTCGTGTTGGTCCTCAGGCCGTCGTCCAGCATGTCAGGATCGAACCAGCCAACGGCGGCGGGCATTGCTGCTGCGAGTGCGGCCCTAGCCCAGGCCCAAGGCAGGGCTCCTGGACTGCCTCCGACCCCAGGCACCCCGAACTCCGCGGACAAGGAGAAGCAGCCGGATCTTAGGTTTGGCCGGGTGCAGCGTTACGGTGCCTGGTTAGCTGAGAGTAGTGTCGACATCACCGCCATGGTTGACTGCACGCAGGAGCTTATTTCTTTCTACGAATGTCAAGAGCAATACAACGACAAACTCACTCGCGAGCAGATCAATCGCTTCGTCAAGGCACGGGGGCTTGACAAGTGAAGCGAGCCCAGCTTCAGAGTTGTCTATACAACCAATAGTACGATACTCAAGCAGGAATGTTAGTTGTAAGCATCGCGGTAGCTACGTCGACAGGTGAAGTCAGACGACCTGTTAGGATGAAGGATACCGCGTCTGTCCTGCAGCTGCGAATCATGAGTTCGCAAAGCTAGCTACTCGATCCAGACCAGTAGGTTCAAAGCGAATAGCATCCGAAATTCGAGGCGCAATGGGTGCAACACGGGTCATGCAGAAGGTGGAATTAACGATTTGAACGAGACAACGAGGAATGAATAACAGACGCATAGTCGTACTACACAACGCCCCCCAATGCCATCGCCTGGCACTCTCATGATCTAGTTCCGGTCTATCTATTGAAGCTCCAGTGCAAGGGCGCAAAAGAACATTCAGACAACCGCATCGGCTGTGATTTGTGTGAGCGTATACCTCAAGCCCCATTTTGCGATTTCATTTAGTCAACTTCAATGGCAGTCGTCATTTTATCGCCACCAGACTTCGGCAATGATGGCCATTTCTCACACAACGAACCATGACTTCATCTCGTGATCTACAACCGCCCTTGCCCACAGAGGGCTGGCTTCCAGCGTCTTCTCGACTCCAGCAATATTCTCTTCCTTGGAACCATTATTATCGACCTATACGGGTTCTTCAGTCTCGAATCCAACGGTTACAATCACAGGCAGGGGGGCAAATTACAAAAGGCTCACCTCAACTAGAAGGCCTGCATCTCGGTAGTGTCGTTCGACAGGCGGTCCCTCATTTAAGTATTCAGCATACCTCTTGGTGAACTTCTCTGCACTGTCGTTGCGATCACGACCCCGGGCGAGGTATCTGGCCTCGGCGTTTTCTTTCCTCACATTGAGCAGCAATACGACATCGGGCTTCGCATTCCCCTCCTATTCGGGTTAACGACCATAAGTCTGTGGACTTGCATGCTCGCCTCGCGCCGACTTACCAAACGGAGTCTGTCTTGAAAGGGCCACACGGTCCACGAATTGAGTTGCTCCTCGCACCTTGGGAAGCCGTCGATCAAGATTCCTTTCAGACCATCTTGTCGCATTGCATTTTCGATTGCAAGACATAGAAAAGGGTTCAGCTCCTCTGACGTGAGGAAGCCTTGATGGTCGAGCTTCTCCTGGATCCGGCCGGTGAGAGGCGTCTCGCGGTTTGCTTGCATCCAAGTGCGCAGATTGTCCCCAACAGAAAAGTGCAATAGGCTGTACTTTTGTGCCAGGTACGCGCAGATTGTCCCCTTGCCAGATCCAGGTGCTCCTATCGAGATGGCAAGTATGCATCTGTGTGCCCAACTTGAAAGGACAAACCGAGGACAAATATCACTGCGAACTTCCGTCTTTTCGCGGCGATTTGGGTGTCCATGGCGTTCGCTTCTCTACCCGAGTGTGTGTTGGCAAGGTGATGTCCAGTAGATGAGCTGCAGGGAACGTTGCAGTACGTCGTCGGCCGGGATATTGCAGGCGGTTTAGCATTACATAAGGTCACGGCATCTCCTTTGTTCCAATCAAGTGGGGGGTTGAAATGAGAAGCACCTGGCTGAACTCTAATACCTTATCCGCAGCCCCCGGTCCCCGTCGACATGTTTCTCCACTCATCGACGACAGTTGCTCAGAAACAAGAACTGGCTTAAACGAGCTTCGATCAGCTATCTAAGTCTCCAAGCCTTCACTTCCTTTGAGAGGTCGCCTAAGCAGGATGGGGATATCAACATCATTCGCCGAAGCGGCACTGGCGCTCTTCTTCGCCATCCCATACTTCGTTTGGGTCGTTGCGGTCCCGGCAGCTACAGTAGCTTATCTCTCACGTCGGCGCGGCGCCGAATCATCCCAAGTCTATCCCTCTGAAGGCGACAAGACGTTGGAGAAGTCTTAAGTCTCAGGTGGCCGATGACCCGGACGCCCCGGTCTCCGTGAACTACTTCCCCTCCCGCGAATGCAACTACGCCTGCGGGTTCTGCTTCCACACCAACACCTCAGGCTATATCCTCCCCTTGGATGAGGCCAAGCGCGGCCTGCGTCTCCTCAAGGAGGCCGGCATGCGCAAACTCAACATCGCCGGTGGGGAGCCCTTCCTGCACCCAAAGTTCCTAGGAGAGCTTCTCCGGTACTGCAAAGAGGATCTAGACCTCGAGAGCGTCAGCATCGTCAGCAACGGAAGCAAGATCCAGGAGAAGTTCCTCCGTGAGCACGGGCGGTACCTGGACATCCTCGCCATCTCGTGCGACTCGTTCGTCCGGGACACGAACAAAGCGATCGGACGCGGGGAGAACGGCCAGGCGGACGGAGACCACGTGGCGCAGGTCTTCCGCATCGCGGAGTGGTGCCGGGAGTACGGCATCATGTTCAAGCTCAATACGGTCGTCAACATTTTTAATTGGGACGAGGACATGGCGGCGCAGATTGCGGAGCTGGCGCCGTTCCGGTGGAAGGTGTTCCAGTGCCTGATCGTCGAGGGCGAGAACGAGGACGACACGCGGGTGCGCGACGGGCGGAAGTTTCTCATCTCCGAGGAGCAGTGGAGGACCTTCTGCGACAGGCATAAACACCTGCCGTGCTACGTGCCGGAGGATAACCAGACGATGGCCGGGAGCTACCTTCTCCTGGACGAGCGTCTGCGCTTCCTCGACAAGGGCGACGGGCCGATGAAGAAGAGCGATTCTTTGCTGGATGTCGGGGTGAAGAGGGCCATGCAGCAGGTTGCGTGGGATAAGAGCGCTTTTGACAAAAGAGGTGGGGTTTACGAGTGGCGGAAACCGCAGAACGTGGATGGCGATGGAGGTTGCGGTGGTGGGGATAAGAAGGAACTGGAGTGGTAGGGCTGGGATGTTGTAATTCTGCTCGGCAGTCATCAAGACCGGCCGAGACTACTTCAAGAGTTTGGGAGGTTGGGAGAGGGGTTGATTGTGTTGGCTTTACTGGGTGTTTAAAATGCTGCGAATTCTTCATGCCATGCCTCTCGTCTGGCGCAGAACCAAACATGTCTCGACCAGAGAACACATTCTGAGGGGTTTGTGTTGGAGGCAACGGCTTGGGTAAATCTCAGGAGAAAGGATGATGGGTGTTGGCAATGTGAATGGGAATGAGGTGGATCGTGGCAGCGATCGTGGCCTTGTCATGGGGCGGAGGCACAGTAGCCTGGCGCCGTCATCAACGTACAAGCCTCATCACCGTTCCAGAGAGACCATGGTTGATTGAAGCGGAGGAATTACTTTCTGGTAATAAAACGAACCCCAGGCTCATGTTGGGAGGCATGTATGCAGGTAGGGAGGGTGCGAGACAAAGATTGGCTCGAGGAGGGTATTTGGGTCTCGCCTTTTCATGTCAGCTTATGCTGACCGTAATTCAACTTAATGTTTACAGGTCTTTGGGCGTTCTTTGGACCCCAACATTTGTTCGAAGGGCTGTGAAAAGTTTTGATAAAGTACCTCATACTCACACACTTCGATGGCAGCGTGTCGTCACAACATAAGTAACAGGCCGTCGATGCTGGCCCTCTCCTCAGCGCAGCCACTGGAGCAGCGCCCTGATCAGACCTCCCACCTACCCTGCAGAAAAACCTCACTTCAGTTTAGATTTATCCGACTCATCCGCCAAGCGCTCCAATATTTCGACTAGTCCGCAAAGTGATGCCTCACACTTGGGCAACTCGAGAGATGACTGTTTGTAACTCCAGATCTTCGATCCAGACTACTGGCAACGTAGCGATTTTGGAGGCTCTTGGCTTTATGGACAATATACTACTAAGGCCCCATGAGTATCACCTCGTGCTCATGGTATGGCATGGCCAAGAACTCATCAGGCTTGTCTTACATCGCCTACTCATGAAGGTGAGAATACAAAGGGGCTCTGCTAGCTGGGCAGTGTCTCCTATACGTCTAATAGCGTAACTGATACTTCTGTAAGACTGGCGATTGTAGTAGAGAAACCGACAAGGATGGCGATAACAATAACGATAGTAGACAACGACGATAAACAACGACGATAATGGACAATGATAATGGACGACGACGATAGACGACGACGAAAGCGACTATATAGGCTAGGATGTATAGGGGGTCTAGTAGGAATATAAAAATTGCATGTAAGTGTCTAGACCCTGCCCGGATAGTTAACTGACACTGCCCTCATAGTAAAACTCATGCAAAAACCCCTTATCCTCTCGTCACGTTAACATCATCAATCCTTCGTCTTCATAGAATCAGCACCCACTAATCAGCCTCGTGATGCATTCTTCTTGTATCCTTCTCTGCCTACCCATCATGATGAGTAGCCCGGGGAAATTCCGGGGTCAGTCTAGATGCCTCCACGGCTAATGTTGCCATTCCCCGAGTGCTGACGACAGGTGTAGGCTGGGCTACGGCTACTTGAGGCGACACTCGACCAGACCCTCGCATGTTCCGCCTCTTCAACAGCTCCGCGTATCTCTCAAACCACTCATCCAACTCTTCATCATTGTAACCGTCGACGTCCACATCGAGATCAGCCCACTCGAGCTCCTTCGAATCATCTTCCGTCAGTTCAGTCAGATTTCGCCTCATCACACGAGGTACTCCAGCGGGCTTGGGCAGAGCCGGGATACCTGGCAAAACCCTTCTGTACTCGTCTGGTATCAACTTGGCGTTGAACTTCCTCTTGGCATAAGCGGCGGCATTCACGTAGCTGTATGGAAATGGAGGCGAGGGGTTCGAGTCCTTCAGCGCCTTCTTCAAAACTTGGAGATCCGGGAGGCCCCGATAGCTTGCGGTGTGGTGGGCCAGTTCTGGATGTTGACCCTGCTTGTAGAACTCGTCTTCTGTAAGCAGTGCGAAACCAGGGTCTTCGGGAGCCAAGAGGCTGGGCCAGCACTTATTCTCCTTCATACCGTGCCATTTCGCAGCGTCACCCTTCTCCTCCGGAAGACCGTCCCAGTCTTTGATCGTAAAAATCGCCCGAAGAGTATTGATAGAAACGTGGCTCACGATTGCTAAGAGTTGATGGTCAGTTTTGACTTCCTGAGACCCCAATATCCCTTTCCTAACTTACTAATTGGCTTCTTGTTTGGTTCCGGTGTTTCGATCTTGGCCTCCCCGACGGTCTTGATGAACTTGTTCTGCTCATACGTCTTCTTATCCGTTTTCACAGACGCGGCAGCGTTGTTGTTGCAGAACCCCTTGAACATGGATCCAGCCCCGCCATTCTCATGCCACTCGATCAAGCGTATCCGCTGCACTAATTTCTTCTTTTCTGCCTCGGCTTCTGAGGGCCAAAAGTACCGCGGGGGCCACTCGTCTCTTTCGCAACCTTTGATATTCTTCTTGCCCTTGTTGTCCAAGGTCGTTCGAGCAACGAATCCGTTCATCCAGGGAAACCAGTGCTGATGCGTTTTCATCGGCTTCTGAATCGCAATTAAACCCAAGTCGTCGGTCGCTGAGCCGTCGTTACTGGTGCCCGCGGTCGCGCCGCAGGTCCATCGGACCATGTCCGGGGTGTTCGTATGAACACTCATCACCGACCTGCACTCAAGAGGTCAGGGATCTGTTAAAATCACGAAGAGCGAGAAGATTTGTGGCAATCTACCTGTAATGGAAACAGGCCTGGGACCACTGTTTCGAGCAAGTCATTGGCACTTCAGACTCATAGTACCCCATGTCTTTGGAAGTGCTCGTGATGTGGATTGTCTCATCCTTGGCGCAGCCTTCAGTTGACGTCTCTGCTTCGCCAAATATCTTTGGCACATCGTCCTTGGCCGCGCCGTCCTTGGCACGTCTTCCGATCTTGCAAGCAGAAGTCGTGGCCGAAGCCGTTGTCGTTGGGGAATCTCGCGCACTGGAATTGGGCGCATTAGTAACAGCAGGCTTGTTCGTCGGCTTAGGGTCTGGCTTAGGATCCACCCTCTTGCATTTGCTCTTGTTCTTCCTCACACAACCCTTTGACTCTCCGAGTGAGTCGGGAGCGTTCGCGAGTGGGTTGAACACTGCGAAAAGGTCAAAGTCCCAAGAAGGAATGCCACAAGCTTTGCCGACCCAGTTGTCAAAAAAAGACGCGGCATCCAGACCGTTTTCGACGAATGTCTTGGCTCCTTGAACTGCAGTTCTGAGAAAGGGACCGCCAGGGACTGCCATGACACCGGACTGCAAGATAATGTTGCAAGATTCCAGCATAACTGCGCAAAAGGCTTCTTTCAGACCTTCGAGTGCTTCGACAACAACATCGAAGATCTCTTCGGCGATTTCGAAGTTACACTCGCATGTTCCCGCCACCCATTCTTTTCCATCTTCATCCTTGTAAATCAACGACTCGACGTAGTTTTCTCGCGGCATACCATCACCCTTGCACTGAGCGCATTCATATTTAGCTCAATTGTATTCCTCTGACAAGAGTTTTGCTACCCGGACAGTATCGTAGCAAACCTAATACTTTTAAAAAAACGACAGCAGTAGAGAAAACAATAGGGGTAGTAATAATAATAACGACGACGACGAGACACGACGACGAAAGTGAGTATGTAGAAAACATAGTCGCTTTAAGAGGGTATATGTGTGTCGACACTGCCCGGCTAGCAACTCTCTGATTAAGTCACTTACTCCATAATTATCAGACCCTTTAGCCTTACACCAAATTTTGCAAGGAGCGAGAGATTTGTCCCTGTTGTCATTGTTGAAGTAGTCAAAACATTGACCTGAGGAAGAATACTTCGCAATGATTTCTGCGTCAGTCGTCTGCTGACGAGTTACCAAAGACGGCTGAGCGAAGCCTGCATGGGCGATGGTGGAAGTGATACAGTGTATCGAGGCAAAAAGAATTGATAAGCGCATCGTCTATGTGCTCAGAAGTGACTATAAAGTAACGAGATAACAACCACAAGGATGGGATGCTTGAAAGCTTGACCTGAATTGTTTATTTCGAATGAACCTTCTACAAGCAACCACTTTATATTCTCAAATATTGCTGTCTATGGTTGATCTCCTGTGAAGGACTTCATGATTTGACTCTCCTAACCTCCAACGGACCCATGATGCCGCCCATTCCTGGCTCCAACTAACCCCCATCCCCCAATAGCCCCTACATAAATGCACATCATGGCACCTTTTTCACCATCTCTAATCAAATCTTTACCAACATCATGATCTCCATGATCCACAAAGCGTTGGGTGTCGGTAACCTTCGAAGGCAATGCGGTATCAATCACTTTCCAACTGTCCAGACGACAACCAACAGCCCCCCCCCCTGGTCTACCGCCCGATGGCGGCACAACGGCGCGGACCCCATTTTTGTCGACTATTTTGTTCAGCTGAAACTCGTTAGCACGGCATCGGGTGTGCGGCATCGAGTGTTCGACCTAGACTCAGCGTGGTGATTGTCCGACCTACCTCAACGACGATATCGCATCACATTGTTGGACGCAATCTGGGAGTTCACCCTTGGCTTTCCTCAAATAGAAATTTGGCCCCTGATGTGCATTTGTTGGTTGAGAAAACTTAAGTGAACTATCAGATGTCAAAAGCTTGGATTTGGGGTGTTTGACGTTGGAACGCTCTGCTGCTGTGTATATCTCATGAATTCACCCCCAAACATGCGTCACTCCGCCACCCCCACCCTCAGCTGTTGGTTCGGCCGGCCACACAAACCCAACCGACCAGGGAATGAACAACTGTCCACTTCAACAACTTCACCTCTGCCAGCTCGTGTTCAAACGTTTCGCGCGACCCTCAAATTTATGGCAGATGCAGGCTGGTTCCCTTCCAACATCATCAGACTCATTTCTTGACATCTACCGTACCTATCTTGCTCCGAACGTTCTCGAACATGTCCCAGTCTTCTGAGTACTCACACGACGCTACCGTCAAAGCCATCACATCCTTTTATGAATTCATGAAACGCATGCATGCAGAAGAGGCGGCGCTCCTGGAATACCCACCTCCAACCGGCTGGCCGCAAATCACGCACGAATATTTCGCTAGCCTGGGTAAGACGAAGGAGGTCATTGAACTTTTGAGGAGCATTCCGTATTTCGTTTCCGGCCCGTATGGTATTCCATGCATCCTGAAGTCAACTAGGCCAATTGAGTATATCGACTGGCAGTACTCTGAGGAAATCAAGAGATGGCCTGCCATCGAGCCCCCCGAGCTAGACAACAAAGAGGGTAGGCTTCCGGGTTACATCATAGACCTTGCATCAGCCCAAGAGGAGCAGGTTGGATGGACTCTTCTACTCGACACCAAGCGCGGAGTTGTAATACTGTGGAAGAACGACGGTGATCTTCCCAGTTGGGCCTGGTGTTCGGATGCGGATCCGTACGATGTGGAAGTTGACCCATACGGGCCTGAGGGATGGAAATGTATGCCGACCTATCGCATCGAAACTTTCTTCGAATTCTGCAAGGAGCAGTATCGAATCATGAACTGGACGCCAGATCTTCTTCGGGGCGACGTATGTCAGCCGAACGACGTTGACAACCCCTGCGAGGGCGACTTGAGGAGGAGACAGATAATGAGAGATGCTGGGTGGCCAGGCACCGATGGAGAAGGTACTGGATGGGACAGAGAGAAAGCAGAGAAGGACCTCGAAGAATACGAGGAAGAGATAAGGTCATTGCGAAGACAGACCTCGACATAAATCTTGATCGGCAAGAGGATGTGTAGCGAAGAAAAGTTCGCTTGCGGGCACATGATAAAAGCCCATGCTCACTCACTCTTTACGAGCGCTTTTTAGTTCTTCCTCAGCTCGGAAAGAAGTTTTCCAGACGTATCCCTCAGGGCATTACAACAATGCTACATACTCCTCTTGATCACATACAGTTCACAGGCAAAGCCGCGCCTCATATTCCGATACCCCCTATTTCGCCTACACCGGCAGTGGCAGAGTGACCTCACGTTCTTGTCTTCCTTCGCGATTATTCGCACCCGACCCAATGTACGGAGAGCGCTTCTGTAAGCCCTACCAGATAGGCGCTGTGGCTCATGCAGGACAAGAGGCTCTTGGTATTAAGGATAAACTAGCCAAGCGGGCCGCTCATGACAGCCGGTGGGATGCCCCATTGATGTGCTTCTTAATCAACCACTTTGAACTTAGCCTAGTGCGCCTCGCTAGGGAATTTTCTTAGGTTGACGAGCTGTCACTCAGGGACGCGTACTTCATTGAAGCCTATTCGTCTACGTCTCCAAGGGTGCGCTCCAGCCCCGGCTGCTCTTGAAACGGAACAATAGACGTCAAATGAACATGTCGGCGGCTTGCGTGATGACAGGACCGACCGCCATTTTCAGGTACAGGTGATGATTGCACGGCAGTCAATTAGGAAGCCGGCAGTCAGAGTCATATGGAGTGGTGTTCTCTCTACATAACCAAGCAACACCACTGAGATGCCAGGTCAGCGTCCTTCTAGTCTCTCATCGTCTCCTGTGCCGGTCAAGTCGTTGGCTATCCATTCATTTCCATCCTTTACGGTCTTTTTCATATCCAACCTCACATCAACATCAGGTCTTCCACCCTCTTTAGCTTAGCCGCTGCCATCTCCAGCGCGTCCGCTCATTACTTCTTCCCCCACCTCATCGTCAACGGCAACTTCACTGGCTACAACGAATATGTCCGCGAGAATACCCAGGGATACATGCCCCTGAAAAACGGATACGAAAGCACAGACCTCCGCTGCCGGACTGACTCCATGCAGTATGCAAGCAAGACCGGCGTCTACAAGGTGAAGGCCGGCGATGAGGTCGGGTTCGGCCTCAACTTCGGCGGGCGGATCCAGCACCCCGGCCCGATGCAGGCATACCTTTCCAAAGCTCCGGGTGATGTGCGAGAGTACGACGGCTCCGGCGACTGGTTCAAGATCTTCGAGCTCGGCCCCAAGACATTTTCCAGCGAGGGTATCCAGTGGGGTGCCTATGACGTCGGCAACTTCACCTTCAAGTTGCCGGAAGCGACTCCAGCAGGACAGTATCTCCTCCGCATTGAACATATCGGCGTCCACGGAGCGGGAGATTTTGGTGGGGCCGAGTTCTACTTCAACTGCGCGCAGATCGAGGTCGAGAATGCGAGCGGCGCCTCCGGAGGGCCGGGGCCGTTGGTCAAGATCCCCGGCTTGTACACCGGCCACGAGCCTGGTATCGAGTTCTACATGTACTGCCCGTGGATTGTGAACTACACCATGCCCGGCCCTGCCGTGTGGCCGCAGCCCCTTGCAGCGAATGTCACGGCCGAGGATGTCAACATTGCCCCGACTGCTACCCCTTGGACTCTCCCGGCGATCACCTCGACTCTTGAGGCGGAAAATACGGTGCCTGCAGCGACGGCGACTCTCGCCTCGAACTCTACGTCTCTTCAACGGCCCGTTGGAGGACTTGTCTCTTCGACGTTGAGTGGAAGTATTCAGACGGCTGAAGCGGTTTTGGTATCGTCCACGACATCAACCTCGAGCTCGGCGATCGTCTCCGCAACCAGCACCTCCAGAAAGTCGCGATGCGCTCCACGAAGCACGGTGATTCAGACTGTCTACGTTACTGCAAATGTGTAGGAGACCCGGAATGTCAGGGACTCGATCTTCTCCTTCCACAGTGTAACTTTCCATTAAAACGTGCGACTAGCCCTCAGAGAATGCCAAAAACAATAAGCCTGAAAGAACCACAGAGTGCATGTCCCGTCATCTTCGCCCGTGAGTTTCAACGTTCCCCTTCTAGCGGTGGGATACCGCACCACCGCCAATGCGCACGGCACATCCGGAGATCTTTTTGTGGCTACTGGAGTATGACCGAAACCTAGTCTGGAAGTTTATTCAGAAGGTTCACGACACTTTTGTGCTGCTTTTAGTGATGCCTTAAATTCGATGAACACCTCCCTTACAAGGCCCGTCATCTCAATCCTTCCTCTGTCACTTCCGATCACAATGTGGTTATCATCCCTGCTCAGAGGCCCGCCCACTCCCCGTGCAGTATTGCCCATACTCTTTACACTTTCATTCATAAGCATCTCGTTGATGATAATGAAAATGCGACCGACGACCAATCTCAACTTCACGAGTAAAATCCTCCGGGGCAAGGACGAGATACCAAACCAAGTGCACTTTGTCTGGGCACTCTACGACATTGATTCTGAGCTTGAATTCGCCTTCGAGCAATACCTATCGATGTACTCAGCCTGGTTCTATCTGAAACCACACACCATATATCTCCATACAAACGCCAAGGAAGCTCAAATCGACCGCGCTCGCAACGGATCCTCCGGAAAGTGGGCTGCGCGAATATTCTCGATGCCCGGTCTTCAAGTGAAATGGATGGAAGCCCCGCGTAAGACGAATAAAGGAGTCAAATTGGCATATAAAGAGCATATTTCAGACTTTATGAGAGTCAAAGCCGTCCATGAATATGGCGGTGTGTACATTGATTTCGACGTACAGGTGTTACGGGATGTGGCTGCGCTGCGCAAGAGCGGATTCACGGCTCTCGGGGGGCGACAGATAGACCAAAACTTGAACAGCGGCACATTCATGTCGAAAAAGGGTGCCAAGATGACGAAGCTCTGGATGGAAAATATGCACAAGGTCTACAACGGCGGGTGGACAACACACAGCAATTGGTGCCTGACCAGAGTTGCGGAGAGTCTGGTTCGCGAACCAAGCGAGGTGCTCATCCTCGACAGTAAAGCTTTTGCGCCAGTTGGTTGGAACCCGGAGGACGCGATTGAGTTATTTGGGCTGCAAAATGAGACTCTGGAGCTCGACATGGACGCCGGATTAACAGCGTCAGCGGATGAAGGAGAAGTCAAAATTGACTGGACTCCCATCAAGCCATCGTGGCCCTTGGATTGGACAGCAACTTATTTCTTACATGCTTTCACCCCAGATTGGAACGTCATTCCTATCGAAGGGTTTCATGGAGTCACGCCACACTATGTTCTAAGTCGTCAGAGCAACTACGCATTAGCGACATATCCTGTTGTGAAGCATATGTACATCAATGGTCTCGTGACAATGGAGGATGGGGAGTATTAGGCGGGGCAACGATCAGGCAGAGTCATAACATGTCTGAGGAGTAGCATCTTGACAAGTATATATACATAAAGCAGGCATGAAAAATGAGATGGTCTTGGTGCTCAAGTCTTACCAAGGAATAGTCCCATTTCTACTCGAAAATGTCGCTGACACACCACTTCTCTTCTCCAACGTAGCCATCTCTACAATTCTCCTAGCGCCCAGCTCGGGCGAGGCGGCCCCATGACTTGCCAAGATCTCTTCGCCCATAGATGCTGTCATCTTGGTGTCGACCAATCCTGGGCAGACAGCATTCGCAACTCCTCCAACATCTTTCAGTACCTTAGCATAGCCGACAGTCAGCATGTTGACCGCGGCCTTGCTGGCATCATACAAATTGAATGCGAGGTCTTGGAACGCCAAGGTGGTGTCTAGCGCCGCGCCCATCGATCCCTTGGTAGAGCTGACGAAGACGATCCGCGGGAATTGGGACCGGCGAAGAAGCGATAGGAGTTTTTCGGTCAAGACGGCAGTGCCGACGACGTTTGTGGCGAAAGTGGATGTCCACTGCTCGCGGACGGAGAGGCTGTGCTTCACGTCAAAGTGTACAGCGGCGTTGTTGACCAAAACATCGAGCTTGCCAAATGTTTCTGAAATATAGGCGGCAGCAGCAAGTATGTCTGCGTCGACCGTGAGATCGAGTTGTACAGCTGACGCGAGCAGACCACGAGACTTCAGTGAATCAGCTACATCTTGACCGGCAGCAAGGCTCCGAGAACCAATGACGACATGGTAGTGGTGGTCCGCCGCTAAGAATTCGGCAACGGCACGGCCAATCCCGCCATTGGCTCCTGTAATAAGAGCAACTGTTGGATATTCCATAGTGTCGAGTATTGCGATGAAATGTTTGGGGAAAGCTTTTGGGAGAGCTTGGTTTGGTATGTTTTGTTCCTTTTTCCTTCACTCTCAATTATATATACTATCCTAAATGACTCACGATGATAATGCCTCTGTGAAGAACGACTCATCATGATGATGTTTCGTAAAGGGCGGGAAGAGATAAGAGATTTGTGATGGACTCGTTATTCGAGGCGGTAAGTTGGCTCACCTGAGCTTCATTGGCTTAAGAGATAGGAGTTGATGTTGCTCATATCCCCGGGCGAAAGACAGCAACTCAACGAAAGCTGCGTCCCCCGGTCGAGCTCAGCAACATCCGTCACTAGAGAACTACCTTATATAAAACCCAGTCATGCTAACGCAGCACCCTAGATTCCTTCACGGCTGAAACTGCAGTCAATGTTTCAGAGAGGCCCCGGATGCCGTCGCCGGCGAGACAGAAGCCGGCGCCGTGCGGGGCCATGCGGGGCCGCGACTCCGGGAATAAGCGGAGCGGCCCAAGTATGAGTGATTTGCGGATGATCTAAGTATTCTACCTGATGATGAGCTTTGGCGTCAAAATCTATCCAAGTCAGAAGAAGTGTCTAAGGGAAGACAGCAGATTCGAGAAAGCTGAACACAGCCCGATTTTCTCTGTCAAACCAGGAGGTGCTCACCCCGCGCTTGGTGCGTCATGACTTGTCAACCCAGCGACGGCTTTAGCTTTCAGGCCGAGGCACTACGCATGCAGACCAACGTCGATGGAGCTCCTCAGCAATCCAGGTTATAGATTTGTCTGAGCAGGTTGAAAACGGGACTTTGATCATGGGAAGCCACTGCGTTATGATAAACATATGCAAGTCCAGTCCTTGACCAATGTCTTGGTCTGTCTCAGCCTGCAATGAACATAAAGGCTTCAGATGAACTCGAGCCCTCTTGGAACTCTAACGACTTTAGACCTGGGCCCCGCTAGTCTCAGCGATTCGATGGTCAGAGCCAGATGCATTACTAGTCCTGAAAGGGGAGTGGGTAGATGTATTTGACGGTCTTCTGATAGTTGTCCCTCCGCTTATACCCCTGGGAATTCGGTTTAGTATAGCAACCCACATGTTCAGACGCCAAACCGCATGTATTTGTCGGGAGTCTCGGGATCAGGAGCTTTGACTTCTACCGTTGAGCATAATATACTGTGTAGCCTTCCTAAAGAATCCTGAATGCTGTAGTTGTTTTCATACTGTGTCCTGAAAACCTCCCCAAAGAAACATCAACATAACTGCAGAGTTGCAAAGCGTGCTCTCCTACACCAATATGCCACCAGACCCTGATCGACAGTCCCACACAACTTGAACCCCCGGACCGAAAGCTCCATCAACGGGCCGTGGAATGGAGAGGCCCCTTGGTCCCTCGGTCCCTCGGTCCCTCCAGACGACCCTTCCCTTCCGTCCGGGCGATGAGACACCAGATCTCTCGACCAAGACACGGCATTGCAAGAAACCTACCCTAGCAATCCTCCCCGACTACCACACCACACCACATTCCTCTCCACGTGGGGGACGCGCAAAGGGTCTCGAGCTCAACTCAGCCGCATCTTTGATGACTCTAATCTAAGTAATCTACCAAAATCCAAACAACTCTTTCCACACGCAACGTCTAGCCAACGAAACACGACCCCGATCTAAAAATGCCAACACCCAAAATGTCTATCCAATCTAGCTTCACTCCCTCGCCCACGCCGCCAATACCCCATCCACGATCTCCTCGCCCTTGGTCACCCCAACCTCATGCCCCGCCTTCAGCACCAACACCTCCACCGCGTCCTCCCCCAACACCCTCCGCGCATCCCACACCGTCTCCCCAGGCACCACAATCTCGTCCCGCTCCCCGAGCACGAACAACACCCTCCCCTTCCTCAACCCGGCCCCGGCCACATCCCCCTCCTCCCTCCGCGCCTCCAACACCTTCGCCAGCACCCGCCACTCCTCGTCCGCGCGATCATACACCGGCGCCTCCCGTATAGTCGACACATAACTCCCCACAAACCCCTCGTGCGCCGCCAGCTGCCACCCCACAACCTCCCCGATCCGCCCCCCGCCCACAAGCCGCAGCTCATCCCACCCAGCCTCCTCCTCCGGCTCCACGCCGTCCACGGCCTCCGCCTCCGGCACATCCCCCGCCCTCTTCGCCGGCGCCAGCCGCCGCCCGACAACCCACCTCCTCAACCCCTCCGGCAGCAGCGGCGAGTTGTACAGAAACCGGCTGCGCCAGCCCACGTGCGCCGCCGAGCGGATCAGCCCGCCCGGCGCGACCAGCGTCAGGCTGCGCACGAGGTGCGGGCTGCTCGCCGCAAACGCCGCCGCGACGGCGCCGCCCAAAGAGTACCCCAGCAGGTGGAACGCGTCGTCGCCCGTCCACCCGCGCAGCGGCGACGACGCCAGCGCCAGGAGGATCTGCGTCGTGTACAGCCGCGAGTCGTACGGCAGATCCGTCGGCGCGTCAGAGTACCCCCTCCCAAAGAAGTCTGCCCATCCAGCATTCAGCACATGTTTCTGAGAAGAAAGGGCGAGCAACTCACCAAAGGTCATCACCCTCCACCCCCGCCTCACAAACTCCCCCGCGACGCCCCCGAGCGCCAGACACGGCGTCCCGATCCCGTGCAGCAGCAGCACCCTCTCCGCCGCGTCCTCGGGCCCCCACTCGTACACCCGCAGGTTCCCGTACGGCGTGTCCACGTCCCGCGCGCCCGGGAACACGTCCGGCGGGTACGGCAGCTCGTCCCGCGCCAGCGTCGACAGCCGCGGCAACACCGTCCACCGCGGCGACCGCGCCGTCTTGCGCCGGTCGCGCCCCGGCGACGGCGTGATGACCGTCCTGGACGCCGCCGGGCTCCGGATGAGCAGCGTCGCCGCCGCCACCGCCGCCGCGAAGCCCGCCAGCCCGAGGCCCAGGTGCGGGAGGTCTGGGCCTCCGCCCCCGAGGAGCCTGTCTCGCATGTTTCTTGGTGTTGTTGTTGCGGGCGGTCGCTTTAGTGTGTCGCTAGTGCCCGTCTACGAAGTGGGAAATGCAAGGCTGGGGAACACAGGATGTTGCGGAAGAATGTTCACGGGAGGACGTCAAGGTTGCGGTTGCGGTTGCGCCGGTGTGGGACGGTCGGGCCCCGTCGCCGCACGGAGGTGCGGGATGATGGGACCCCGCCCTAAACCCCCAACCTCGGCAGTCTACGGTGCATCTCTCTGCTGAGATACCCTGAGCTCCCTGACTCGACTCCAAAGACCCCGGCATGACTAAATGAACTCGATATTACCGAATCCCAAAGGGCTTACGCAGCGCTCGATTGACTCTCACACGGGTTTGCAAAAGTAAACAATAGGGAAAACACGGAAACAGCTCAAGATATCGCAACGGATCGGTCGTTCCCTAGTCTCGTCGGCGTCGCCGCCCAGGAAGCGCAGCGCAGCGTGGCCCCTCCTCCGCTGCGCCTAAGAACGTGACGTCGTTCGGACCTGGGGCGCCCCTTGCAGGCCCGAACCCGTCTCACTCGCACGAAAGAAGAGGGACGACCGCCGATTTAGATTTCAGGAGGGGCGGACGATGCGCCAGACTCGGAACGATAATGCAGGCGCTCAGAGATCTGCCGGGCAGGTGCAGTAAAGACAACATGCAAATGAAGAAAACCAGCGCTGTCGTGTGAGTCGCAGTCGGCGGCAGGTTCGTTCGGCGTTCCGAAGATAGAAACAGAAAACCCCCCCCAAAGCAGACGCGAACCAAGGCGACACCGCCCTCGAACTGCCTGCAACTCGCCGGGGCTGCATCGGATGGAAGCGGAGCGGGAGCGTTGGGTGTTGGTGCTGGTGCTGGCAAGCCGGTGATGGGCAGAGCAGACACCTGGGCTGGGCTCGCCCTTCCCAAGCTCTCTCTCTCTCTCTCTCTCTCTCTCTCTCTCATCAGCCCACCAGCCAGTCGAACTGCGAGAAAGACATGCTGGTGCCGGTGCACTGTGCAGCTGGCAGGTTGCCCCACCACACAAGCGTGGCATGGCTGCTGCCACATGCACCAGTTTAAGGTAAGTTGCTTGCTGCCGGCATGCCAGATGCGTCGTCGGGTGGTTTGTGTGTGGTTCTGAGGCTTGTTCGCCGGTCGCCTGGGCGGGCTTCTTCTGGCGGCACCGAACAAATCGTCCGCATTCCTCTGCTTCTTTGCTTCTTCCTCGTTGGTACAGTAGCATCCTAAGCTACGCTCTTCGGCAACCGCCGCTCCACGCAGCTGCGCCCAGCTGTCTAACAGAACCAGTCCCTCGTACTGTAGCTTCTCCAACTACCTCTAGCTCCTCAGCTGTTGTCTTGATCATGACTCTTGTACACCACATGGACAGATTAGGGAAGGGGGAGGGGAGTACAGGCGAGCAACGGTGAGAGCGGCGGGATGGTCGAAGCTTCCCCCCACTAGACGGACGGCAGACACAGACGCAGAACCCGGGGGGTTGACACTGGGAAAGATGGTGGTGAGACAGCAAATCCCCATCCCACGAACCGCCGCAGCAGGCGATGCACAGAATCTCGCTGGTCTTGGATCCAATTGATCCAAGTCTGGTCCAACCTTGAAGCCAAAATGGCGGTGTGGCAATGGGAAAACCAACCACAGCACATCTTCCCCCGCGACCTTGTTGGGTGCCGCTGCCACGCATGTGGCTTTCGTCCTCTCGGATTCCCTGCCACTCCTTTCCCTCCCCTGGGCCCTGATGCATGCAAATGGGCAGACAATGCTCCGTCCTCCAACGAGAACAATGACCCACGAGAGATCTTCGTGGGGTGAGGCCTGTCTCGTGCAGCTGCGCAGAAAGTAACGATGACATTCGAACCTACGGCTTGCCTGCCGTTCAATCGTACGGACACTCAATGAACCGCCCCCAACGCCGACTTGCACACGGCACGCTGGTAGTTTCACGCGGGCGTCCGTACTGCAGGTAGCGGCAAGGTTGGTTGGTGGATGGTGGATGACGGGCACGGTCGACGAGCTAGGTAGAAGGCTGGGCCTGCCTCCAGAGGCTGGAAACAAAAGAAGGTTACCCGACGTTGTCATCGTTTGCTTCTCCCACCTCCCCAAGAGAAGCTTGGGTGCTTGTAGGTGTAGGGCGGCGAGAGGGGATTGGACGCTTCGCCCATCAGGATGTGAACTGTGTGATAACGCAGTTCGAACTCAATGGCAGTCGACAACGACCATCCCCACACCTCCAACTTTCTTTTCCCAGCGTCCAGGCCCTGTCCGATGAGAGAGCTGATTCGCTGTGGTGGTATGGTCCTGCTGCAGGCTGCCAGGCATTGGGCTGTGAAGGCTCCGCTCCTTCGCAAGACATGGCCCGGGCAGAATCAACACCAAGGATAGAGCGTCAATCCAACCTCGATCGAGGAACACCAGCCCTGAATAGCCCTGGACGGGGCCGGTCTTGTCTGCTGCTGGAAGGGTCCTCCGCCTACCCAGGCACGAGGATGACAGAATCCAGGAACCTTTTGAGCCCTGGTTGACCGCTGTCTTGTTAGTAGTGACTGGCGAGCACTGTACTGTGTCACCGATTAGCACCAACCTCCTTCCGTCCTAGGCGCCAAAAGCGCGGGAGCCATTGACGAATTACCCCGCGGAAATGGAAACGGTGAGGCAACGGAAGAGACGCCTCGTTACGTCGCATGGGCAAGTCCCAAGTTTGTAGCGGACTCCTGATACCGAACACAAAGTGTAGACGATAGATTGAGGCGGGAGAACAAGCACGCACCACGCAAGGCGAGGACGGCGGCGGCGACGGGACGGGTGAGACGGAGACTGTGACGGCAGAGGCGAGCGCCGTGCGTGGGGTGACGAGGCGAACCGCCTGCGCAGGCAGGCTGGAGCATAGGAATGTTCGCCCCCCTTTCGTCACCTGGAATCCCCTCCCTGCCCTGACGAGATCCATCGTGGGAGATCACGAAGGCATCGTCAGGTGTCTCAAGATGGTTTCCCGTCCTCATGCCCCAGCCGTGCCTGCCCTGCCCGATTGCCATCTTGGCAGATTGGCCTCTCTCCGCAGCGCAGGGGCATCCAGCAAGCAAGCCAGCCAGCCAGGGACTTTCACAGCCCTCGATAATTGACGAGGAGCGAGAGGGGGGACAGGGACTCCAGGGAGGGAGATGCTGTGCCACAGTGGGAGAGACAGCCAATCGCGCAGATTCCAGGGTCTGCCCCGGGTAGCTACTGGCATGGTCGCGCAGGAGGCCCGTCCGCTTCATGCAGCCTTCGATGCGATGGAAGACACGGGTGCCGCAGCAAATCCCACGCTGGACGATTGTTGGAAGGAGACGTTCCCTGGAGGGCAGATTTGGTCTAGAAGACGTTGGCGCCGAGGGTGGAAAGATTCCCAGAGTGGAAGCCGCCGTCGAGGACCGGAACATTAAGTTGATGCGTGAGGCATGGCATGTCGAGGTTAACTGTATCTTTTGGATTGCATGTCAATCGAATCTTGCTTGCATCAGCGCATCGGTCGGCAGTCGGGTGCCAATCCGGTTGCTCGGCCATGTGCCGTCTCCATGCCCATGATGTATGCCGTGGGATGGAAAGTCGCAAGAATGGAAAGAAGCGAGGCATGGATCGATAGGAAGTCCATCATGGCATGTTAATCAGTTAGCCACTGACGGATGATGCTGGGGTGAGGAGGGGGAGGGGCAGGCGGAGAGCGGGCGCCGGCCAGGTGCGAGTGACGATATGACGGGGCGGCAGGAAACCTTTAGTGAGATCTGCGTGTGAGTGATGAGTGAGTTGAGGGTGAGTGAGAGAGCTGGTGACGACCGTGTGGTGTGAGAGAGGGACAGAGAGGTGTGCGGTGTGAGTGTGTGTGTGTGCGCCACATGGCGACGGTTACCCCGCTGTTAGTGCTGTCTGTGGCCAGACCCAGAGAGCTTCGAAGGCAGGAGGAGGTGGAGGTAGGTGAGATTCGGTACGTACCGCGATCGAGGGCGACTTCGACTTCGACTTCCTCGTCGGGCGGGTCGCAGGTGCAGCAGGTGCAGGGCAGGTGCAGGTGCAGCGGAGGTGCATGTGGCAAGCGCACACTGTGAGGCTACTTGCCTGATGCCTAAGGAGTCAGGCCCATCTCACACACCACACACCACACACAACACAACAGTGACAGGGCAGGCCGCAACAGCCAGTCGGGACCAGGGCCTTGTCGCTTGAAGCAAGCGTGCCAGCCGCCAGTGTCCGCCACGTTTCCGAATCCAGGCCGCTGGCCAAGGGCCGGGTCATTTCTCAGGTTTTTCCCTTCCATCTCTCTCTCTCTCTCTGTTATTATTGTCTGCCTTTCCCAACTGCAAACTGCACCGTCGGACCAGGGTCTAGCCACCAGTCATAGCGGCACCCGATCCCCACCCAGTGCCTGGCTGTCAGTGGCTCACAGCCCCCCCTACCTTCACTGCCTCGTTGTTCGTTATGCAGCCCCGGGCTCTAACCACCTGCTGCAGCACAGCAGAGCAGCAGCAGGAGGGAAGCAGGAGAAGAAGCAGCAGCAGTAGCAGCAGGCACACACATGTGTACGTACCCAATGAGAGCCACAGTGTGTGCAACGGTGGGCTGATACAGACAGTGTCGATTCGCTTTCGTTGGGCGAGCCGTGGCTGGATTGGCACCCCGCGCTACCGCTCTTTTTACCGCTGCCGCTGCCGCTGCGCTGTTCCAAGTGCAGACTGTTCATTCATGAACTGTGCCATCTGCTCACTTTGCACACGCAGTCATCAGCCATCAGCGGGATGCCCTGTGCTTGTGCCAATGTTTTGCTTCCCAAGTTCCCTCGTCCGTCATCTTTCGTCCCCAAATGTTGGGATTCGATTCGACCGACCGGGGGTCACCCAGGTGAGAGGGTCGGGAAGCGGTTTCAACTGAACCAGCACACATTGTGAGCGGACGACATGAAGCCAGCCGAGTATGAGGTCCTTGGGGGGACACCAGCCAGCATGGAATGGGAAACACTAGG